CTGCTCCTCCTCCCGCTGCTGCTGCTGAGCTGCTGCGGGGCCGACGAAGGTAAGTTTGTCCCTGCCAGCCGCCGTAGTCATCGATAGCTTGGGTCAGACTTTGTGTCCGTGTTTCCTGCCACTTCACTTAAGATCAATAACATAATCGATAGGACACAGCCAGTAAGAGCCGTCCACTTCTGATTGTGTGTTTATTGATTAATCTGCTGATTGACCCTAATCAATTCACACGCTCAGAAAACTGAACATCTGTCCCGTTTGTCTCACTGAAGTAGCCGGTTGAAGGTGTTTGGAGTTTTCTGATGTTCTGACACTTGATCCTCCTGCTTCCAGAGGAGAGTACTGTAGTTTTACTGTAGTTTTACTGTAGTACCTGTGTCTGACAGCAGCGGGTTCTGGTTCTACCTGGACAGACGGGCTCACTGGACATGGTGCACAGCATTAATAATGATTGTTAATAATCAGGTAAATTGGTTCCACTGTGACCAACTACAGCTGCAGTGAACCTCTGTACTGTTACTGAAGTAATACTGGTGCATTGTTTTGTTCACCACAGCCTCAGATATCAGATAGAACCAGTTCTAACCAGTGAAGCCAGTAAAGACAGAAATGGACGAGTTTGAGTGGAGTCTGGTTGAAACTGAAACATGAGTCCAGGAATCGAACGTGTGTGGTTCTGTTGCAGCTCTGTTCCTCTACCGGTGTTGACAACAAAGTCAGTTTACAGAAAATTAATCACATCAGTTTCAATAATCATTAATTAATTGTTTCAGCAACAAACACATGAGCATGTCCCGCAGTTTCACTTCAGATGTAACGTTTAGAGCTGGGTTCAGTTGTTGGGACCAAACTGGAAACATCAGGGTCCTGACCGAGGTCAGGTTTTTATAAAGACCAGAAACAGGGTGAGACATCAGCCGAACTCTGTGTTAGTCCTTAAATATCTTTTAAAGATGTGGTGAGTTTTATCTAAACAAAAACCACCGAGTGTGGAGACCTGGTGTTTTCACTGGGGGCGTTTTAAGAACAGAAGAAGAAAACAAAGGAATCAGAGACAACGAAGTTGTGTCCTCACAGAGACAAGCTTCAGGTGAGACCAGGGCAGGTGAACGGCTCCGTCCTGATGTGTCCAACCTCCTGAACCACGTGAACAAACCACAGCGTCTCCATCCACGTGGTTTTTAATCTGTGCACAACAAGCCTGAGAGTCAGTTTAAGAGTCTCCACATCAAGTTTCTACTTTAATCTGAGAAGGAAAAGTTGGTGAATCAATAAAACGATTAACAAAATGTGACAAAGTGAGACAGAAGGAGGAACCAGCAGTGAGTAAACCGAGTGAGGAGGAGGCTGGAACCAGGATCTGATCTGTTTTTACACTGGTTATTATGGTTCCATCGTAGCAGAGCTGTCAGGCTGCAGCCAGCTATCACTGACACTATCAATACGTCTGATAGTCACTGTCGCTAATAATCGATTGATTGTTCAGTGAATGAAACTGTCCGAGGTGAACTCGTGTCCTTACAGTCCCAGTGTACTGAAACATTCTGCTCTGAGAAAACGTTTACTCACTTGTTGCCCATTAATCTTCTGTCAGTAAATCAAATACCTCGGTTTTAAAGTACTTGGACTTTACCTGAGTGTTTTCATTGCACCTCCCTGTTCTTCACTGCGTCTCAGGGGGACACAGTGTACTCTCTACTGCAGTTACCGGGTCTTTACTGGTTCAGATCATTACCAGACCACATGACGACTGGTCACAGATCAAACTGCCTGATAAATAAGACTGAAGTGATTTGTTTGAATAACTCCTGAGCGACTGTAACATCTGGTGGTTTAACATCTGGCACAACGAAACTGTCTGAGCTCACTGTGACCATGTTTCTCTCCAGCCAATCAATCGATTGATCAGACAGCAGCCTCCAGACGAGTCCATGATGAAGCTGTCGTTAGCGGCAGCGCCACGTGAAAGAATGGAAACAACACAGCGTCTTCGCTCCGGGAGAGAAATGCATCAGTCAAACATCAGATAAATGTCCTATAACACTCTAAATACAGGGGACACGTTCTACATGCAGTACTTTTACTTGTGATACTTAAAGTACAGTAACACGTTCTACATGCAGTACTTTTACTTATGATACTTAAAGTACAGTGTCCTCATTATACTTTGACTTGTGTACCATTCAGTGTAGAACTTGTAACAGAGTATTTCTACAGTGAGGTATTAGTACTTTTACTGAAGGACCTGGGTACTGGATGCTAATGATCCCTCCATTCACTCCAGTGTGTTTAGAGCATTAACTGGTCCCAGTGGGTGTGTCTCCATATTGTCTCCGTGCTCCGGCTCTTTGTTCTGGTTTTAACCCTCGGCCACACAAGGACAACCTCTCTCCACCCCTCTCTCTCCCCACCCCTCTCTCTCCTTATTGTCCCTTTCTCTCCCGTGCACAAATCCCTTTCAAGCTGCTGGGTTGAGTTTCTGACCGTGTGAAGGGATTTGCATGTGAAGTGCACGTTGGTTAATCTGTTGATTGGCTCTGTGGAGGTTTAATAGCTGTTCAGCACTGAGTCAGCATTAGGCGCTCGGGCCGAACACACCTTGGCCGAACACACCTGGGCTGACCCCCCCCTCCAGGGCTGAACACACCTGGACACACTGCTCCAGCACGGTGCTGTGGACGTGTCCATGTTCCAGGTCAAACTGCATCATGGGACACGTTTCTCTGCAGAACCAGTTCCTTATCTCCCAGACGTCTTTGTGTGGAGGTGGGGTCGATACAGGTGTATCAACAAGGCGAACCAACCAGAGATCTGATTGGCCAGGTTCACATACAAACCGTCCAATCAGCTCTGAGACTGAAAACACCTTGACAGTTGGTGCAGAACGGCCGAGTCTTAATGTCAATCTGAAGTAGATTGTTTCCTTCAGCTCTTGGTGTCCAGGCGAGTCCAGTCGGGCTGTGTCTGGTGTCCAGGTCTCCAGGGTTCTGGTCCCAACGCCCTGCAGACTGATGTTTGTAGTGGCAGGTTCACTAGAGGCCGAGTCGCCGCATGAGACCACACACTCGCATTGTAAACAGTGCACGTGCTGATGAGAGTGCATGACCAGGACAACACTGGCGGGATGTTTATACAAGACATCTGGCCCGAGCGTGTGTGTGCAGCGTCTGACCCGCAGACACACTGAGGTGATGTGGACTGGTTTGCTGGACCCTCTGTGGTCGACTCTCGTCCCTGTCACTGTGCTGTGCGCTGAGGAGCCACACGGCCGTGCACGTGCCCTATAGGGACCATGTCCCTCTAAACCTGCGTGTGCATGCAGCACATCAGACGCCATGTGTCTCTTGATGTTGGAGGTCTAGGCTTGAAACCATCAGGGAAAAGAGAGTTGGTGTCTAAAGGGCTGAGGAGATCTGGAAGAAAGGGGCAGTCAGTCAGAGACGGTGAGAACAGCTTGAGCCAGCTCCTAGACCAGCTCCTAGACCAGCTCCTAGACCCGCTCCTAGACCCGCTCCTGTCTAGACCTGATCCAGACACCCCTGGTCATCGTCTCTGGGGTCTTTGGACGCCCACCCAGTCAGGGTCAGTTTCACTTCCCTACATCCAAGGAGGCTGTGAGTAGTGACCTAGTGAGAACAGGGTGAGAACGGAGATGTTGAAATGGGTTGATGACGATCTGGTGCTGTTAGCTTTAGCATCCGCTAAATAAATCATCTGAACTGCAGTTAAAGTAAGGCTCCTTGTTTTATTATTACTTGGGTGGACGTCTCTAAAGGTTTCACAGCCTCTCCTCATTGATGTAAACGTGCAGGCTGTGTGTGATGAGCCAGGTCCAGCTGAAGGCCCCAACATGGTGGCTCTAGACTGGAACTCAGCTTTCCCTTAGCAGTCAGAGATTACTGACAATAAACCTAACGTCAGGTCTGTCACAGTGGTCACAACAGGTGGAGCTCGGCCTCCCTGTTTTCTCTGAGTTACAAATGGACTTCCCCAGTGGTGCAGACCTGTCGTATGAGTCATGAACAGAGCCTGATGTGGACCAGTAACTAATAGGACACAGACTCTGGTCCAGAGTCTCTAGAATCTGGACAAACCTGGGAGGTTTAGAGCAGATCTTCCTGGATGAGGCCCTGTGTTTCTCACTGAACCTGCAGCAGTAACAGGAGCCTCTGCTGGTCCCGGTGCATCGCTCGGTGTCATGGTCTCCTCTTCCTTCCTGCCCTCAGTCCTTTGTTGTGTGTGTAAAAAGCTGATTAGGAGTTCACCTGCAGTTTTAAAAGTGAAGTCGGGTTGAGTATAGTTTGAAAATGTCAGATCTCAGACGGTCCAGTTAGGCCTCAGACGGTCCAGTCAGATCTCAGACGGTTCAGTCAGATCTCAGGCGGTCCAGTCAGATCTCAGACGGTCCAGTCAGACCTCAGGTGGTTCAGTCGGGCCTTGGACAGTCCAGTTAGGCCTCAGGCGGTTCAGTCGGCCTTGTTTCCACCATGAGGCTGCTCCCAGACACACTGGTAAACTGACACAGCCGTTCTAACTGGGAACTCGTCCCAGTTTCCCAGTGTGAACTGGTCTTTGTTTGTGAGGTAAACCCAGCCGTCCTCCAATAATGTGTGTTTGTGTGTGTGTTGCCAGCTCGGTCTGATGTTGCAGTAGAAGTTCGAGCCTGGTTCAACTTTTCTTTTGGACGACTAAACGTTCTTTTTACTGCAGCGCTTCAGCATTGATCTTGTTTCTAAACCTGACCTTGTTTGTGTGCTTTGTCGGCACCATGAAGGTGTTCAGGTTGAATACCAGCCCTGATCACATGACATGACATCACCATGACATCACAGCCTGCGGCGTCGGCACGAGCTGAGATCAGTGAGGTGCTCAGGTGCTGCTGGAGATCAGTTACACGAGTGTGTGATGATCCTGTGTGGAAGCAACCAGAGAGGACACACACAGACAAACACACACTGCCTTTGTGAGGACCTTCATTTACATAATATGCCCCCCCCCCAACCCTAAATGTCCCCACAGACGTTTGTTCACAGTGTAGAAACGTCCTCACAGTGATGGTTTAAAACCAAGATGTGTCAGCAGCTGTAGAAGGACGTTCATCGTAGTGTGTAGTAGTGTGTAGGAGTGTGAACCTTAATTCATGTCAGTCACACTTTGTCAACTCGTAACTGGATTAATAGTCTGTAGTGGTGTGAAACACCCCGACCTGACGTCCGACACACAAACACACAGTGCTTCCTGGTCCTCTCATTGCCTCAGTCACTTCTTGTTTAAATAATATGTCAAGGAGAATTAAAGAGCTTGTTAGTGTGTGTTGGTGTACGTGTGTGTGTGTGTATGGTTGTGTAATTACAGCGTGTAGAAAGGGAAAGCAGCCATTTCGTGGTTCCGCTCGGCAGCAGCTGAGGAACGTGGCTCTCTGCTTGGTAAAGCAGATCACTGCTGTCGTATCAGTCCACGCCTGCAGGACCAGACATCACCTCTGGGTCTGTGGGGGCAGTCAGTCACAACTTTACGCCGTGTGGTGTAAACTGACAGCAGCTCCGACACCGGGGTTCACGGTTCTGTCCACAGGAAGCTCGGATGTTAAGTCCTGTCTTCACCGTGCTGCTGTGTGAACCTGAGCTGACTGATTCTCCAGTCGGTGCTATTAAACCAGGGATGAGGCTGCTGTGTGAACCTGAGCTGACTGATTGTCCAGTCGGTGCCATTAAACCTGGGATGAGATGGTGAAGGAGCTCATAATGTGAGGAAGGTCCACACACACCTGAGGAAGAGTCACATGACCAGTCTGTTTCCCTTTCACCTCCACAGCCACCTCAGACCAGCTGGAACAATCAGTGGTCATTCAGTTTCTTTCTGTTTGCTACTCGGGGTTTTTATCCACACATTGAAAACACATAAAAGCACGTGGATGGAAACACCCGGTGTCTGGAGCCTGGTCTCATACTGTGACACGTTCATCCTGTCAGGGCTGCATGGACGAGTGGGTTCAGACTTGAATGTTGTACTGCACTTTAAGGACAACAGCAAGAGCGTTTGACCACGAGCTGCTAAACGCACTTAGCATAAAATGACAGCACCGCCTGTTGTATCACACCAGTGTCTGGAGCTGCCGGCTGAGCCCTGACGGTCTGACAACGAGAGGCCTAAAGAGGGACGGCTGGAGAGCAGTCCGGGTGTTTCCCTGTGGTTGTGTGTCGGGGTTAAGCCTTCCCAGTCTCCCTCTCACAGCTTTGACGGCAGGACATTATTCATGGCTGATATTTCTGATATGCAGCAGTATTTCAAGTGTGTGTCAGAGTTAAGCCTGGTCTTCTTCACCCGTCCTCACTCTCTGCAGAGTGAGAGCTCAGCACTGGGGGTCTGTGGTTTGAGTTTCTCTCTGTGAAGCTCTCTGCTGTGGTTTCTGTCAGGTTCCCCATCAGCGACCGCTTTAAAGGGTTCTGGAGCTTTTATTTTAACCACTGAAATTGTTTTTAAGCTCAAAGACAAAAACTCAGCATGTTGTTTGGAGAGGGCTGTGAAGAGGGCCCACAGATCCCTCAGGAAGTTCAGGGTCACCCAGGAGGGACTGTACTGATGGTCCTCAAGAAGGTTTTCCAGTTGTTTCAAGTTTCAGAGGTTTTTGTGGGGCTTTCATGAGTTCTCTGAGACATTCAATGTGTTTCTCAAACATTTTTGTGAAGGTTGCAGTTCTTGAGGAGGTATCAGCTGTTTGAAGAGGGTTAAAAGGATTTTAGGAGGTTTGGAGTTCTTGATGAGGTCCTTCTGGTTCTTGTGCAGATTTTGAAGGATCTTGAGGAGGTTTCAAAGGTTTTCAGAGATTCTTTTGGGGGTCGCATTGGTACTCAGACATTTATATAAGGTGTTTTAGGGGGTTTAAGGATCCTGGTGGAGGTTGCAGTAGATCTCCAGGATGTTTCAAAGGTTCAAGTGCTTTTTGAGGACATTGTAAAGGTTCTCGGGGAGGTTCACATTATTCTTGAAGACAATGTTGAGGACCACTAGGTCTTTAGGTCCAGGTCATGTTTAGCTTAGGTTAACACAAAGACTGGAATCAGGCAGAAATCGTTAGCTTTGCTCCATCACAAGAGAAAAGCACCTCTCTCCACCTGTGTTTGTGTCTGTACCTGTCTGACCGAGTCTGCCTGTCTGTCTCTCAGAGGTGCTGATGAACACCAAGCTGGAAACATCCGACCTCCGATGGACAAATCATCCTGCCGATGACCCAGAGGTACTCACACAGCAAACAGGAGCCTGGTAGTTGCAGCTAACATTTGAAGAATGCTATAAACAGTCTGTGTCTCTGCAGTGGGAAGAACTGAGTGGACTGGACGACGAGTCCAACAGTGTGCGGACCTATCAGATCTGCACGCCCAACAGTCCGTCCTCCTATTGGCTGAGGACACGCTGGATCCGCCGGAGGGCAGCGACCACGCTCTACGTCGAGATCCGGTTGGTTGATTTGATAACAGTCCGTCCTCCTATTGGCTGAGGACGCGCTGGATCCGGCGGAGGGCAGCGACCACGCTCTATGTCGAGATCCGGTTGGTTGATCTGACAGATAATGCTAATGCTAACCCCGGCTCACTGCATGTAGCACCGGCTAAGTGGTTAAGGCTGTCATGCATTCTTGATTTTTGGAAAAATAAAACTTGCTCATCACTGAAAAAAGCTGTTTATGAAAAACTGATTAAAGTGAAATCAATGATAAAACCTATAGATAAGATAAACCCGATCGATCCTGAACGTGTTCCTCCAGGTTCACCATGATGGAGTGTTCCGGTCTGAACCAGCGTCACTGTAAAGAAACCTTCAACCTTTACTACTACCAGTCGGACACCGATGAGGCCACGCCCACTCATCCGGCCTGGATGGAGAACCCGTACACCAAAGTCGCCACGGTCGCTGCCGACTACCTGCTGCAGAGCGGTGGCGAGCGCCGTGCCGGTGAGCGGCGCTATAACGTTAAACTGCTGCGCCTGGAGCAGCTGCGAGGGGCGGGGTTCTACCTGGCCTTCCATAGCCAGGGCGCCTGCATGGCCCTGCTGTCTGTACGGGTCTTCTACAGGAAGTGCCCGCCCCTTCGTCGCGCCTTCGCCTCCTTCCCTGAAACCATCCCACACTCTCTGGTGGAGCAGGTAACCATGGCAACAGCAGGGTTCAGTACCCAGCACCATACTCGAGGAAACATTGCCGATTTAATAAAACACCTCTGTGGTGTTGTTTCAAAGTGAAATCAGTACATAACGTCCTTTACAAAGTACTAGTGTTGTTTCTTTGCTTTACAATTTGTTTTACAAAATAAAAGCCTCATCACTTACTTTAAAAAGTACAACTTCCTTCTGAAGTTCACAAAGTAAAGGTCCTGTAGTTTGCCACAGTTTCTGTTGTTTAGAGGCTTTAATTCTGAAACTGCTTTCAAATGTGTGTGTGCTGCAGGCTCAGGGTGTGTGTGTGGAGAATGCCGTCACGCCGCCCGGAGAGCAGTCACGACCTCCCAGCATGCTTTGCGGTGAAGATGGTCAGTGGGTGGGACAGCCGACGTCCAGCTGCGCCTGTCGCCCCGGATACGAGGCGGGTGAGACCGATGTGTGGTGTCGAGGTGAGAATTTCAAAATAAATCACCTTCATTTACTTCATTTGGGCTTTTCTGATTAAATCTGTCAGAGTTGAAGTCTTGGCTGCAGACTTCAGTCAGACACAAGGACCAGATGTGACGACTGAGCTTTGTTTACAGACCTTGACCCGCTTTGATGAGACTCTGTGGCCTCAAATGGACTTTAACTTGGAAGTCGTGCCTCCTATTTTGATATAAATCAGAGTATCTGGAGACCTGGATCCATCAACCACGACGAGGGTTTTCTTACAAGACCACAGACCTGAGACTGGCTTTGATAAGACGTGTTGAGACATGAATGCTTTCCAGACACAACTCACACACCACTCCCACCATCATTTATTTAACCAAGTCTGTCTTTGAGTTTACGAAGTAAAAGCATCGTCGGTGTCACTGTCAGCACTTAAAATTCTTGGTGTTGTGAACACACAGTGTAAACAGAGGGCGGCAGTTTACTCTGAGAGGAGCTGGAGCTGGTTAGAGGCTGAGACGTGTCGACAGTCTGGTGGAAAAAAAGGCCGAGAGGGAAGAAATGTGAACAGAGTTGGTGTTAAACTTCACTGGCACAGGAAGACGTGAACCAGAGGAGGGGAGTCGGAGCTCCACGGTTTTCTGTTTTAATTGTGTTGTTTTTGTGTTTTGATGTCAAGTTCATGTTTCATATCGATATAATTTTGTGTTGAGAAACAGTAGGTGAGAAAGAGCAGGAGTTGTCGACAGTGATGCTGTGCAGACGAGTCGAGCTCAGCTCCCTTCAGTCTGAACACGTAGCTATGGCCTAAATATAACTTAATTAATTAGTTTTTGTTTAATTATTACAGAAACATTGCGCTTCCTTTCATTTCTCTTATGTTTTTATCTCTTCACTAATTTAGTTCCTTGTTTAGTCATTAAGCGATGTCACCTGGCTGAAGTTGTTTCCTCTCGGGGTGATCTTTCTGTCTTTTCTGAGTGGCTGTCAGACTGAGAGCAGCATCTCAGCAGCTCTCAGCGTCTGAGCAGCTCCAGGTCCAGATCACTGAAGTCCAGTTGGAGAAACACAGCCACTGACACCAAAACGCTGCACAGAGGTTTATTATACTGAGCTCACTGTGTAATGGTGGACAGTTATCTCAGAGACAACTGTTTCTCTTGCATCAGAAGGTAGACGGTCGAGCTACAGGCTCAGGTTGAAGTGATCCAACAGGGATGTGCCCGTGCATGTGATGGAGTCTCGCTGGGTTCATGTCTCTGCACCGGCTCCATTCAGGATGAGATGGCTGCATTCTTTAGCACAGTCAGACAACCTCAGCAGAGAGGCGACACATAGTTTGGTTGTCGAGGCTTCCTGTTATTCTCTGTGAGGTCAGAGGTCAGCTGACGGCAACCAGGAAGCTTTGCAGCGGGAACGCCGGCCATGGGTCGCCTCTGCTTCTGGTTAACCCCGTGGACTCAGAAGGGAGGGGGTGAGGTAAAGGCCAGGCTGAGTGGAAAGTTCAGAGGTTAACTCCAGCTGCCAACGCTCCCTCAGAGACTGGGTGTGTGTGTCAGATGCTCACACGCCTGGCAGGGGATCGTGGTGCTGACATCATGGCAGCACTTTCCACATCCTGCTGA